ATATTTTGACTTCTAAGATATTCATGTGGTTTTTAATTTCACAGCTTCTCACTGCTTTCTCTGCTACCCAACTAGTAAATTTAATATTTTAATGGGACTCGAAATATCTTCTAAGGTGAAAAATCATACTCTCTTAAATGAATACCGATCACTGACATTGAGGTCGTTCTTGAAGATTATTCACTTTCATGATTGCGACTTTTTACTGTAAAATGCCATAATACTCAATTTGGGACATTCTTTCTTTATTTCATTTTAAGAGGTTTATGCCACTTTATTTCTCTTTGAATTTCTCATCTATATATATATATATATATATATATATATATTTTTTTTTTTTTTTTTTTTTTTTTTTTTTTCCTAAAAAAAACAAAACTTTTTTTTTTTTTCACGCTAAGTCAAGCCAGAGGTAATTTGATATGCGGTGGATGGTTTTACGGTTTTAATACCCAGATTGTACTACGGAATAATTTTACAAATACCCTGTAGGTTTGGCAAGAGTTCTGGATCACTGGAGACGTTGACGGACGAGGTGACCCTGTATCAAATCCCGATGGTCCTTTGGACCATGATCTTTTTTTGTTTTGTGCAAGGGACACCGTCAAGCTGCTCAGGAATCATCCAAGTCTTGCTTTGTGGGTTGGGGGTAATGAGCAAGTTCCACCAAAGGATATCAATTCAACTTTGAAAAATGATCTACAACTTCATCCATATTTTGAAAGTTTTATTCACCTCGGTTCGTCAGAGGAAGAATTGTCCCCAGTTTTAAAGGATCCAAGTCAATATCTTGATGGTACACGAGTTTATATTCAGGGATCTATGTGGGATGGCTTTGCTAATGGAAAGGGGGATTTTACTGACGGTCCTTATGAAATTCAAAATCCTGAAGACTTTTTCAAGGATGATTATTATCAGTACGGGTTCAACCCTGAGGTTGGTTCTGTAGGAATGCCTGTGGCAGCTACTATCAGGGCCACGATGCCTCCAGAGGGGTGGCAGATTCCTTTGTTCAATGAATTACCGAATGGTTATGTGAAGGAAGTTCCAAATTCTATATGGGACTATCATAAGTACATTCCATATTCAAAACCAGGCAAGGTTCACGATCAGATTTTATTGTATGGAACACCTAAGGATCTTAATGACTTCTGTCTTAAGGTATAATGTTTTGTAATTCTTATTGCCCAGTCTCCTATCCCTTATTTCTATTGTGTATCAACTCATGTCAACCATCTACTTTCAGGCACAGCTAGTTAACTATATCCAATACAGAGCTCTCTTAGAAGGCTGGACCTCCCGTATGTGGAGCAAATATACAGGTGTTTTGATTTGGAAGACCCAAAACCCTTGGACAGGTCTAAGAGGCCAGTTCTATGATCATCTCCATGACCAAACTGCAGGTTTCTACGGCTGTCGTTCTGCTGCTGAACCAATCCATGTCCAGTTAAATCTGGCAACATATTTTATAGAGGTAAGCATGGAAATAATTTACAAATGTTAAGGATGAGTCAAGTCTCTGAACGTTCTTGCAACTGCTTGATCATGTATTAATGTGAAACACAGAGATGAAATTTCAATACCATCCATTTTCTACATGGCACCTTTTGACTGTAACAATTATAACCTGCAGTGCCTAAATCTTCCTTACATTTGTTATTGTTTTCTTGATTTGGGAAACACATTTCAAATAACTATACATATTTGAACTGTAGAACATAGCTTTAATCTTCTTATCTAATTTCTTTAACCAAACTTCTCATTTCAAACCATGAATATAATACAAGATGAAGACTTTATCTGAAGTTGAAATTAATACGCTTTTCACGTTTTTCCTGGGTAATATACAGGTAGTCAACACGACATCGGAGGAGCTTTCCGATGTGGCTATAGAGGCCTCTGTTTGGAATCTAGAAGGAGAATGCCCTTACTACAAAGTCTTTGAAAAGCTCAATGTGCCATCAAAAAGAACAGTATCAATTTCTGAAATGAATTATCCGAAGTCAAAAAGTCCTGGGCCTGTTTATTTTCTTCTCCTTAAACTCTATAAAATATCAGATGACGGGATATTATCTAGGAACTTCTATTGGTTACATCTGCCGGGTGGTGATTACCAGCCTCTTGAACCATACAGAGAGAAGAAAATCCCCCTCATAGTGGCATCTCTAACTTTCAAAAGTGGGTCCAGCTATGAAATCAGAATGAACATACAGAATACATCAAAGACAACAGATTCGAGAATTTTACTTTCCAGCAACAATTTCATTCAAGAAAGTTGTAACCGAGATTTTGTTATGTCATCATTAGAATCTCACATCCCTGAAAGGAAAAAGGGAAACAGTTTATTTCAGAAGATGTGGCAAAATTTTTCAAGGGAAGACTGTGGTGTGAAAGTTACTGAAATTAATGGAACTGAAACTGAAACTGAAACTGGTGTTGCTTTCTTTCTTCATTTATCTGTCCATGCTTCAGAGAAGGATCAGAAGGATGGTGAAGACACTAGAATTCTGCCAGTTCATTACTCTGATAACTATTTCTCTTTAGTACCTGGGGAAGTAATTCCGATAACCATAAAATTTGAGGTTCCTCCAGGTATCACTCCACGTGTCACTCTTGATGGTTGGAACTGCGATGGGCATACTGTTCTTTAAGCTTCAACTATGGTGTGACTAAAAACACGTCGTCTTGCTTGAAATTCTCTTTTTCGATCATTGGAGATTGATTATGAATTGTCGGAAAAAAATGGTAGTCCTTACGTGTGTGTGTGTGAGTGTTTATTGTCCATCATAATTCAGTTCTTCACTATTAGTAATTTGATGCACACTTTTATGAACATTCAACTGGAGTTCAAATATCTTATCTTAAACTATATAGAGAAACTTGAGACCAAAATAAAATAAAATTACAGAGATACGTGTTTTGAGTGGCTTTCTTTCGTGAAGTACATGACAATTAATAGTTTTTGTCAGAGTAAATCCTCGATAAATAAATACTCGTTGAATTAAAACTTGCTTAAATAATAAATTTTTCACTCTCAGCATGGATCAATGTATTATATTGATAACTTTGCTAATAATAGTTTTAGAGTAATGCTACTTGTACATAATGATTTACATATAAATGAAATGTCAAAAGGAGAATATGATTTCTTTACATATAATATTTGATTGAGGAAATTTTGATCCAATCATATTTTACGACATCATGTGTATATAAATCATTATGTGCATGTAGTACAATTGATGATTTTATGTGAAATCCTTTTTAAGTTCCAATGACAAGTTCATAATACCTATAAAAGAATTTTTGACTTCACAACATGTGTGTTCAATGTAACAGGATGCATGCTAAAATTTCATGCAAAAAAATTTGATAATCTAAATATCAAATTTCATTATATTATGCTTAGTTCAAAAATTCAAAAGGCCGTTTGGCATGTTTTGAGAAGCTCAGTTCTCTTCGTGTTTTAATTTTTAATTTTGAATTTTGAATTTTGTATTTTGAGTGTCCATTTTGAGATTGTTAAAAACTTGTTCTCTTTGTCATTTTGAAAAATTGTTTTCAAATATATATATATATATATATATATATATAGCACAAGAATATAATTCTAATCTTACAATATTGTTATCTGTGTGGATCACCATTGGAAGCTGGATAATTAGACAGCTGTGGATCGCGAATCAAGATTGTTGGAACGAAAGAATGACAAAGGAGTTTGCAGATCTTGTAAAATGTACAATTTCTATCACAGTTTCTATCTAAACACAGAGGAATCTTTGGTGGGAATCGGAAAAGTCATTTTTGTACCCGTTTGGTTAAACTATCAAAATATTTCTTCTAATTAGAGGAGTTTCTAGACACGATTTTTCTACTTATACATAAAAATGGTACATAAGAAGTTATCGAAAATAATGTGGAGGGAAAAGATTGAATGAAAAAAATAATTGAATTTTAAACTGATAAATGATAGAATGCCATGTAGAGATTATGTAAATCTTAATGTACATATAGCATGATTCTTCTAAACAAGCTTCCTCGAAGCTTTTCAAAAGAGGAAGCTCTTTTAAAATTTAATTTCAAAACGCCAATTAAGATAGTTTTTTCAGGAAATTCTTCTGCAAGCATTAGCAAAAAATAGGCTCTAAAAACACTGTGCAAGGACGTAGATGAATCCATATCTTTCTTTGGCCGAGCTAAAGGAAATATCTTATTAGTCAATCAAGTCGTCAGCTTCCGCATTCTTGATAGTCCATGGCCAGCGGCGCTTACACTTGATGGTACAGTTATATGTTGCAATGGAAGAAGCTTGATGATATCTTCACATTGGATGCTGTGACGAGTCGACGAATATGCTACTTAGGACTAGATAAAGGAGTTGAAATTTGAGAAATGCTACATAAACAAGGTTAAAAACAAGCTGCATTTGTGTCGATATCTGATTGAAGAGTTTGAAAATTTGAAAAATCGAACAACTTGCTACCTTGTCAATATGTTTTTTGTTCCCTGTTTTTGAGTCTAGCTGTTTAACATTTTTCGTGAAATTTTCGAAGGGCTGAAATTGACACCCTCTTGTGGCCACTGCCACGTGTGAATTGTATTAAGTCCTTGTTTGAACCCCACTCTTCTAAAAAATCATTTTCAACCACATATTTTTCCATAAAATAATATTATACACAATTTCAAAACTTTTCCTTAATTTTTAACCAGACATTCTACATCAATCTACTATTCAAAATGCATTCTTTACCCCCCCAAAATAGGAATCAAACAAGGGCTAAACTTCAGTTCGTCAACTTCAATTTAATTTTCAATTTCATTTGTCTCTCAAAATGAGGAAAATTTGCTTAGTTGACAATCATTTCATAATAGTCATATTGTAATTGATCTTTCTAGGTTAAAGCTACCTAATATCCTAAAATCTAAATTGATGGAATCGTGGTAGGGTTTTTAGGACACTAAATAGATGACATGGTATAACGAAAAGTAGGATTCTTAGGACAATGAATTGAACGATAGGTCAACTTAAAACACTTTGCAAAAGTCAATGATAAACGTAATACAAATAAAATTTTGTTGGCTAAGATGACAGAGTGCAAAGTTCAATGGCCATTTCTGAAATTAATCTGAAAACAAAATTATTAATACTCAGATTTTATTCTTTAGAACATCCCCACAGCACTCAGCCTTCTTCCATTCACCACCCCACTCTCCACCGCCACCTCAGCCAGTGTTCCACATAACCCCATTACGATCACAACTAAACGTGTTGAAGCCTCCAATAAGACCACAAAACCAACTTCAACACCACGCGGTTCAATAGCATTCAATAATATTGAGCTACAGCCCTGTATCAAACATGCACTTAAAGTCTTGTAACCTAAGACTTTATAAAGGTTAAAAAATGATTCAGTGAACAGATATTCACAACCAGAGATATTAAATATAAGGGATAAAAATTGGATAATTTACTTTAGCCACATCTAGGATTCTACCTACCAAATTCATGAGTAAAGATAGAACTCACAGTAGAACTGAATCACTATCAAATATTTAACATGCAACAATTGAACTAAAATTTACCTTCTCTACAAACAGCCAGTTCAACAAAATGCAACAAGCAGACCCCTAGGACAAGCAGAGCACTAGAACTTATTCCAATCCCCTCCCCGGTACAAAGGTAATGTCGCTTCTTCCGTCTAACTGGAACAATTCTTTCTTGCAGCATAAATACGATAAGCAGCCAGCCCAACAATGGCTACAGCAGCCCCAACTGTAAAATAAAAAAATATTAGTAACACCATGTTGGACGAAGTCATATGGAAGTATTATTTTTCATTTAGACTATGCTTTTGACAAGATGTCTACAAGTTATTTACTTCCAACGGCATAGATAAGCAGCAGTGCCAAATTATGCGATGAAATAAAGCTTAAGGCATATTAATTTAGCATCTTAAGATTCCAAGATAAACTAAGAAGCTAATAACTATCTGAACACTTTTAACATTCCTAGATAAATTTAGAAGCTATAAACTATTTAAACAACCATGTCGTTTTACAGCCTCAAGGCCTTCCTTAACTAATCAGTTATAAATAGCTGTAGAGATCAGCAGCTAATATACAAATGCCTATAATATAATGCCAGTAACTGAAATACCTGATACAAACACGAGGGAACGATTAACAAGCCTGTGATACTGCTTACGGCTTTTGCCAGCGGCAGTTTCTGGAATGCTCAAATGGGGGTGCTCAGCTGCATTTACTATCCTTTTAAATAAATTACTGAAATCTCCTAGCTTTGCACTGACAGGTATAGGAGTCTCAATTCCCATATCCTGGCTTACCTATTAAAGAACACAACGGAATAAAATCAAAACAATTTAGCAAAACAGCAAATTCAACTCTGCTCAAGGAAGTGCATGGCCCATCATACTAGGACTGCATAGACATACAGTGCGCCACTGGTTAGACACGGAAGACTCCTGATTTGTGCACAATGGGAAGGGGCTGACTACCAAATCAAACAGGTATCACATGTTCCAAGTCCTTGCTAGTCACCCCCATTAAGGAGATAACAGAGAAACTGTACTCAGCTTTAATAACCTGCCGACCACGAGTTATCCTAACAGTCAGATTTCACAAATGCAAGATTTATTTGGCAGTGTCCACTGTTAACAAAATCTCTTAAATGTATTGCACCTGTTGCCGCCTCTGTTACCAGCAATGATGCCATAACCAAGAACAATGGTCCCGGGATTTCCCGCACTCTGGCAACACATCACCTCTCCAGCAACCATGTGTTCATTCAGGACAGATCAGTAGAACATCAAAGCCAAGAAACTGTCCCTTTAGAAGTTTAAAACTCATTTCAATTTCTTATTTCTATCCCCAATTTCTGATCTTAATAACACACTTTCTCTCCAGTTGATTTATAAGATAGGAGACGAGTAATCAAAACCATAAAGGATGAAAAAATATATATTTTCTTCCATCCTCTTTGCTGCTCTTACGAAAGGAGGCATGTCAATATATATCGATTAATTGNAATATATCATGGGTACATCTATGTTTATTTTTTTCCATCTATCAACCATGATATTGAGCACATTCTTGTTAAACAAGGCTCATAGAACTCGACGTTAACATAGGACTCCTCAAGATATGCAAGGGAACATTGATAGGGACAAGTGTGGGAAGTTTCATATGCATTATCCTCTGTTTGCAGTACTTGGTTGATTAATGGATAGTTGTATTCATTTGTTTACTTCGGGATTTTTAATTGATCTCCCTTCAGAACATCATTAAGGCATAAATTGAGGGTTCAGTACATTGCTTTTGTAATTTTATTCTTCATTTAGGAGCATTTTCTTACCCAATACATTTTGACCTGGAAAGTCTAGGATGATTTTAGTACTATTTTCTAGCATGGAAGAGAGAAAAATAGTGGTAGTCAGTCATGTAAAAGCAATAAATACATTTATGACTCTGAAGAAGGTGACCGCTTTAGCCATCAAAGATGGGGGAAAATGATGTTTTAGCAAGACTGGAACTAGAAAGGAATGTGCAATTCACAATATATTCAGCAGTGTTGTTGACTGACGGACTGACAGAAGCTGGGAGGAAGTTCATGCTAAAAAATATAACACAACAACAACAAAATGGAAATGTTTGAGACGCCAAAGTTCAAGAACCACCGTTGAAGCTGAAGTTGACCATTCTCAGATGAGGGACCAAAAATATTCTAGAACCAAGTTCGTGCTACAATATACAGCACAATTTATTTATTAAAAATAAAAATAATAATAAAAAAAATCGCTGACAAAAGCACAAGTCCCAGCAAAACTAAATTTGACCATTTTAGGCTAATGATTGATTAGCTTCTGCAAAAAATATTTACACCCTAGGTATTTTCTTACAGAAAATGGAGAAGGAGGTATGGTAGCATATTGCACAAAATAGTAAAACCAGAATAGGAATGCACATCGAAATGGTCAGACAATATAGTAGATGTACAAGGGTATCAATAGATATAATTTTCTGTTCCAAACCCCCCGTTCAAGTGTAGGTCACCAGGCCAAAAAAATCTTTAACTTGATATATTGGAATTTTTCAAAAGGAAAAAAATAAAAAATAAAAATAAAAAAATCAGTTGAATTCCCTGAAGTGCTATTTATATTTATACATTCCTCTTTTACTATTTCAGTCATTTGAGAAATTTGACGATGAAAGAATAACCACAATGATGCTTTCAAGAAAGCTGAGATATATAAGGAAAATATCATCCAGGAAAAAATTCCAAATTAAATACATATAAAAAATTTTAAAAACACCAAACCAAGTTACACCAAAACATACAGTGGTAAGTACGGAGTATCAACTATGCCACCAATCGACTTTTACCAATATGGCACAAACATTAACAATCACCTATCTTATTCCATTCAAGTGGCAATACGGCATATCAGCTACCTGTCATGAACAAACACTGCCACGTCACATGCTGCCAAAGCATCCCTACTAGAAAATATTTTTTT